GCCAGAGATGAGAAGACTGAAAACAGGTAAATAATGACATAAAACTTAATGGGGTCCAAATAGACACATTAATAAAGATGATATTTGAATGCAATATTTTCTGAACTCAATGCTAAGCAATCCATTATAAACAAAATATCAAAATTTTAATAAAGGATCAGTCCTTGGTGCCTATGGAAAAAGACAAAAATCATTATACTGATCCTATCTTTTCTTAAAATTTTGGCATTTTATACATTATAGATGCTTACACATTAATTTTTATTTATTTTAAAATATATCACATTAAAACTTATATGATTGCTTAGGTTTTTGGTTTTTTTTTGTTTGTTTGTTTGTTTGTTTTTACAGGCAGAGTGGACAGTGAGAGAGAGAGAGACAGAGAGAAAGGTCTTCCTTTGCCGTTGGTTCACCCTCCAGTGGCCGCCGCGGCCGGCTCGCTGCGGCCGGCGCACCGCGTTGATCTGAAGCCAGGAGCCAGGTGCTTCTCCTGGTCTCCCATGGGGTGCAGGGCCCAAGCACTTGGGCCATCCTCCACTGCACTCCCAGACCACAGCAGAGAGCTGGCCTGGAAGAGGGGCAACCGGGACAGAATCTGGCACCCCGACCAGGACTAGAACCAGGTGTGCCGGTGCCGCTAGGTGGAGGATTAGCCTATTGAGCCATGGCGCTGGCCTAATTGCTTAGGTTTTTAGCATCCATTTAAATTTTACCTTCTTCTTACCTGGATCTAATCATACAAATCATTGATTTAGCTGGATCTTTATACCATCAGCAACTTTCTGTGGACCTGGTGTCACTTGACTACAGCAAGCACAGATAGTCTCTTTTGTGACAATCCCCCATCAACCAAGCTAAGCTCCCACTAAGAAAGTACAAGAAAAGAACACAGGCTAGGACAAGAAGATCACGTTGCTTGCTTCTGTCCAATGTCCTCATCTCTCTCTTAGATTCTACAGTGATCCTAGGAAGCACACTTATGCCCCAAAACATGTAAGAGGATTAGACTAGATACATACATGTTAAAACCCTGTCTAAATGACTCTTATTCATCATTTCTCTCCATTACAACCATTGAGTGGAGCAGGTGTTTAGTACAGCAGTTGGGATGCCTGTAACCCATATTGAAGTGCCTGAGTTCGAGTCCTAGCTCTGCTTCTTATTTCAACCTGCTAATGTGCACCCTGGGAGGCTGCTGGGATGATTCAAGTAGTTGAGTCCCTGCCACACATATGGGTGACCTGGATTGAGTTCTGCCCAGACCTAGTTTTTGCAGGTATTTGGGGAGTGACTAGCATATGAGAGATCCCCTACCCCAGCCTTTCATATAAATAAAAACGTTTTTCAAAAAATCATTGAAGTAGATCATATAGTACAATATTACTCAAAGTATAAATCAGCAGCATCGGTATCACCTGGAAGTTATAAGAAACCCATACACTTAGTCTCCATCCTACATATACAGAAATAATAACTGAGGAGCAGAGGCAGCAATTTGGGTCTTACTAAGTTCTGTAGGTGATTTGGATAGATGCATGCTAAAGTTTAAGAAGGGTGATACCATAAATAATCATCTAATGGATTTGTGATGATCAGCAGAAAGCTAGCCCCTCCCTAGATATCTAAGACCATCTCCAGAGATAAGTGTAGGGATTGTCTGAATTCTTCCTGTGTGGAAACAGGATGACCCCGCAGGTATGATATCATGTCCCATGGACAGAGATTTGGGCAAACTGCATCCCATGGACAGAAGTTTGGCCAAACATACAGTTCCCTGGAGTAACTAAGAAAAGACTTGCCAAGAGCAAGTCCTATCATTGGGAACTCCAAGGGGGCAAAGCAGAAGTGCTGTCTGCCCTTGCTCAGGAGGCAAGTCAAAGCCAAACAAGGAAATGAAACTCCTAGCGAGAAAGCCAAGGGCATTCATAGAAGGGAGCTTGTGAAGCCTGATGCTCATTTATCTTGATGGTAAGCCAAGCAGACACAAATGAGAAAGCCTGGCTAAAGGTGTATGGTCAGAGAAAATAGGACTGAGAAGTGGACACAGGAAAAAGTGTGTGCAGTGTTTGGGGTTTGCCACCTATACTTTTGCAGCTTTGACTTGTCCTTTTCGTTTAACACGGATGCCCTAGGACTGTTTTTAAAGTAAACAACTCTCTCCAGTCAGAAGTACTCATAAAGACCACACTTTGTTAGAATTTAAGATAAAGTTGCCAGAAGAAAAAAAAAGATCTTAACCCAAATGTCCATTTTATTCTAATTTTACTCTATCTTAGAGCAGTTCTTTGTACAAAGTGAACATGTATTAGATTTATCTAATTGAAGTAAACAAGTGAAAAACTCACATTATGAGACCACAGTTGTTTTGAAAACACAGTCTTGTAAAGAACATGAAGTAAATTGAAAGCACACAGAGCCATAAAGAGCAGGCAGGTCTGGGATGAGGAAGTCAGAGTGTGGCCTCCATGGAGTTGAAAGAACAACCAGTGAAGGTGGAGAGTGGAGGATGGGTGAGTCAGAGCCCACGGGAGAGCTCCTTATCAGAAAACCGCCTGGCAGTCATCATCACCAGCTCAAACTCCCCATGGCCAAGGCAGACTCATCAAATCCTTCCCCAGCCACCAAAACCTTTGCAGTTTTACACAGCTGAGTCCTGACTCCCTTATCCTCACTGGTTAGAATTTCTTCATGCTTCCTATCAAAAGAAAGCTCTAGTTTTCTTCCAGACTCTTCTCAAATGTTTCCTCCCTTTGAAAATCTTTCCTGGTCCTTCAGTTCACTGTCCCCACCACCCACAAATGTTGTCCGTTCGGAACCCAATCCCACTGAATGTATGCTTTTAGTGTACATCTCATAGTAACTGTTTTCAGTCTCCTCTCTCAACAGACCTACTTGAAGGTAAACTCCAACTTTTATGTATTAGCTATAGATGGTTTAGACTAGGGGCTTAGCAATGGGAGAGTGAAAAGAAATTCAGAACAGTAACCTTGCCTAGAAATACTGGAGACTGTCAATGGGAAGATTTAAAGCAGAGGGCAAGTGGAGAGCAAATAGCATTGCAGAAGGCTGCTCCCTTGTCTTGAACACCCAACTCTAAGATTTGAAGGAAGCTTTTTTTCAGGGAGCCTAAAGCCTGACTAAAATCCTTGGGAGAGCGAGAGGGGAAGGTGTGCTCAGGTTGGAGGTGGTAGGGTTGGGATGGAGTAAGAAGATGAACCCTTCACCTTAGAAAGCATTTTTCATTCCGAAATGCAGAAAGCTAGGCAAGACATAAGCTACTGGGGGTAATCTCTGTCTTCTAGATCAGGCGTAGAGGTGAAGGAGACATCTGTTGTCCTGTATGCTAAATCGACTACAGGAGACAACCTCAATTCAGGCAAAATTCCTGCTCAAGGAAAACGAATTGACATTTGTGTGATTCTCCTGTACTATCTTCCTCGGGAACGTCAAGGTGATGCAGGGATCAAAGCTGATGGCAGCGGGAGTCCGGCTTGCATGCTTACTGAGTGCAGCTGTGTGTGATGCCAAGCAGGGAGTGTGGAGTGAGGAAAACAGAAAAGGGCCGAACTGCCCCAAACTTCTCCCCACCACCACTTCTGAGCCTTGGAGGGTGATTTCTATGTGGAAATCTGAGTCTGCGGTTGCCAGAGCTTTTGGATTTCAGTGAGATAAATCTGATTTAAAATTTTATTTCTCAATTTTGAAGGGTAAAAGGTAATCAAATTAGTTTAGAGCACTCTTGAGTCTACCTTGTGCAAACCAAACAATGTGGGCAGAAGGCTGAGTCGGGTCCCTGGGTTGCTAATTTGCAGCCATGGGGGATTTGGAAGGAGAAATGTGCATCCAAGGTTCACTCTGACCCCAACCTCCACCCTTATCTCATCATTACCTAGCCTTAGACACGTTTTTGATACCCCAATGATCCTATCTACCCAAAACCAGTTTCTTCCGTCAACATCTTCCAGAAAGAAGAGCCTCTAAAACTCTCAAGCTAGTCAGCCAGTTCACCATGTTGGAAATTAACCTAAAGCTCTTTCTTGTTGTCGCTTAAGAAGATAAAAGCAGACAAACAATAGCATTTCCTGTGTTCACTTAGTGTCTGGAAAAGACAGACATATTTTCTGTGTCTTCATAAAAAGTATAGATTTGCTTATGGGCTACTGTAGAGAAATAAAAAATCAAGCTGAAGTGTACTTCTCTAAAAAAGATGGGTTTATGAAATTTCATTTCACAATTGTGGTACCAGAGCAGCACTGGGCTAAAATTCCACTAGATGATCCTTCCACCTAGAAATAAACAGAGACAAAACATTGCTTGGTGATAAATGCAATTGGCAGTGCAGAAGATAAGTGACAGGGCAGGCACCTAGATTGGTTAGAGAGACTCTGGTACAAGGGGCAGAGGCAGAGTGCAAAACCACTTACCAGGTCATATGCAGGTTTAAATAGACACTCTTGAATCAGTTTTTTAAATAATAATTTTATAAGCCTCAGAAGATTACAGTTCCAATGATTTAAAATCAATTTTAACATATTTTCCTTTCATATACCATGAGAGGAGGGAGCCAGTTTTACTGGTTCATTGGCTAAAGAGGCTAATAGTTTCCACAGTAGGGGAGGAAGTAGACTTCAGCTCAGATGGATTATTTCAAGCTTCAAGGGCCTTGTCTAGACTGAGAGGGCTTTGCTACCCCCGTAGCCTTGTCAAGCAAAACGGGTAGAGGTATTTCAGGGCAGCTCAGGTAGTTCCTGCAGAACTTAAAGTCTCAGCAACCGCAAAACAGCTGCCTCTGGTTCCCTGGCTTGTGACTCCTGCTTTCCAGGCAGAGGGCTGTATCCTGAGCACATATAAAAGTGAATTCTTCAAGGAAGGGCAGATGATTCTGCATCAGCGAGGCCTGACTGGCATGTGTGAGTGTGAGCATGTGTGGATGTGTGTGAGTCTGTGCGTGTGTGAGAGAGCGAGCTGGGGTGTTCTCATTAGGGAACGATCTATGATTTGACAGCCTCGCGCAGCTCCTGCTGCTGCTCAAGCCGCTGCGGCGGCTGACTGTTCTGTCATGAGTTGAAAAGGGCTGCGAGTGCTTAGGGGAACAGCAGTTCTGGAGACTGAGCCCTGCTAAGTGGTCTCTCTGTCAGAGGGGACAGAATTTTCTGCAGGATTGCAAACTTGGACCTATTACCACTTCATCTACCCAGAAAAAGAGGCAGTGCTACAGAGGATACGGTAGGAGAGAAAATTGTTCTCTTTGGGGTTGTGGGGCAGGGGGCAAGGGGAAATGCTTGCTGTTTTATGTCACAGAGCTCTCATCCTCACCCTCAGAGCAAGTGGCACCAGCTGAATTCTTACAGAGCCTGACCATTGAGTCTTGGCTTCCCCGACCCCGTTCCCTTTTTCCTTTTTATTATACTTTCCCCCAAGCATCTGAAAGGTTTCTTTGTGTTTATTTTTCAGTTTTCAGCTATTGTTTAGTTTTCTTCCGTTGAGCAGGCTTTCAAAACAAATGACTTTTTCTTTCTTTAGTATTTTACTCCGTGAAAAGGGAATGAGTTCCTTTTCAAGTGAGCTGATCAAAAGAGTTACTCCATCCGACACTAGAGTTGCAATAAAAGAAGTTTTCTAAGCACCTCTGAGCTCTGTTATCGTAGACAAATGAGGGTGAAAGGAGAGGAAGTGAGAGTTGTAGACAAACGAGGGTGAAAGGAGAAGAAGTGAGAGTTGTCTGTGACTGTGAGTTGATCAGAAATGGTGACATTGTGAATCAATGTGTACTGTGACCCTTACAGGGGGATAGAACCGCTGCAATTAAGGTGGGCACTGGAAAGAAGATGTTTTGAGGAGTCAGTGTTTCAGAGACTGGAAGCCACTAACGATGGAAAACGAGACAGTCAGTGAACTGAACCAAACACAGCTTCAGCCACGAGCAATGGTGACCCTAGAATACCAGGTGGTCACCATCTTACTTGTGCTCATTATTTGTGGTCTGGGCATCGTGGGCAACATCATGGTAGTCCTGGTGGTCATGAGAACCAAGCATATGAGGACCCCCACAAACTGCTACCTGGTGAGTCTGGCAGTTGCTGATCTCATGGTCCTGGTGGCTGCGGGCCTCCCCAACATCACAGACAGTATCTATGGCTCCTGGGTCTATGGCTATGTCGGATGCCTCTGTATTACTTACCTCCAGTATTTGGGAATTAATGCATCCTCTTGTTCAATAACAGCCTTTACCATTGAGAGATACATAGCAATCTGTCACCCGATCAAAGCCCAGTTTCTCTGCACATTTTCCAGAGCCAAAAAGATCATCATCTTCGTCTGGGCTTTCACATCCCTTTACTGTATGCTGTGGTTCTTCTTGCTGGATCTCAATATTAGCACCTACAAAGATGCTACTGTGGTATCCTGTGGCTACAAGATCTCCAGGAATTACTACTCCCCTATTTATCTGATGGACTTTGGTGTCTTTTACGTTGTGCCAATGATCCTGGCCACCGTTCTCTATGGATTCATAGCTAGAATCCTCTTCTTAAATCCCATTCCTTCAGATCCTAAAGAAAACTCTAAGGCATGGAAAAATGACTCAACCCATCAGAACAAGAATTTGAACTTAAATACCTCTAACAGATGTTTCAACAGCACAGTATCCTCAAGAAAGCAGGTAAGCAAAACTGAACCTCCAAGTCAATAGAGGAAATGTGAGATAGAGTTCCTGGCAACATGAGTTTCACGTGACCCTACCTAGCTGATGGTGAAATCAAAATACAATCATGCAAATGTTTCTCAGGGCAAGCTTCTGCTTTACATATTAAACCCATCTCTAAAGCAACTGAAGATCTAAAAATAGGTGAGAAAGTTGTGTTAGCATATCAGCAGGTATCAACTCAAGTGCTAGAAAATATAAGGAAAACATGTAGACACTCTAGAAATCTACCTTCAAAATGTGCCTCTCTAGAAATGCTATTAGAGTACTTATATCATTTCTGGCTTCCATAGGGAATTTGGTTGTACAATAAAGGTTTGAAGAGATAGTTCAAGAATAAGTGAGACAAAATAGTGAAATTTTCCTTGCCATTTTACAGTTAGACACATAATTGAGAGAGGTTCTGGGACTTATTTTTGTTGGTCTTAGTTGGAGAAGATTCTATCATCTTTTTCTTCAGCTCCACATAAGAGTCCTGGGATACAGAAGCTGAAAATGCACTTTGCTCGGGAAATGTCCCAACACAGGGAAAATATCAACTTCAGTTTATTACAAGAAACCTGTCAATGTCTTTTGTTTCTTGATAAACAAAACTAAAAATTCCTTACACTTTCAGATAACTAGAATGTCCATGTATTTACAGTTGAATAGTGGTTTAACCAGTGAATAAAATGCAACTGTATTATAATAGACATAATTTATCTCATAATATAAGAATAAAGTGTTTTACATCATATAAACATTCATCTGTATTTACACAATTGTTCTAAGCTATTCACCTATTTAGCTTTCAGTTACTTTTCCTCCTTTGTCAAACATAATCAGCAAATGATAAATATTATTCTCCAAGCTGAAAAAGAAAACTTGAAATCAATAATACTGTTTCTTTCAGTTGGGTTGAATTTACTCATTTTTTCCCAAAGGGGATAACAGTTCTTTGTATGTACATATATAGAAACTGAATATACTTTTCAAAGTATGCATTTAGATCATCCCTGCTATTACTTCCTGAACTAAGTTAGCTGAGTGCATGAATAATTGTCATTCGATATATGATCACATGGTGAAATAAACAAAAATCTTTAGGCAGTTTAGATATGCATGAAATGAATAGTGAACTGTGAACTTAATGGAAATATATACAGCATTTGAAATGATACTGTAATTCTTGATTTATATAAAATTTATTATTAAAGATACTTAGATAAATGATAGAAGGGAAGATCTGATCAACTATTGCCAGCTCTTAGATTTCTATTGCTTTGAACCCAGCAGTGCTGCCTCATACAATGCATATTTAGCCATCTATTATCCAAAACTTGATTGATGGAAATTTGGAGAGATCTGTTGACCATCTGCCAAGACAAACATTAACAAATAAAATAAGGGAGTAAAGAATATGTACATCTCAATTACAGACTAAACATAGGTAAATGTCTATGGCAAGGAAGTTCAGCAAATAAATTCATTCATTAGATTCCAATTTATATTCTTGTTTTAACTTCTAAAAAATTGTTTGCCTGGTCTAATGTCCTTTCTTTCAATTATAGTCATTAGTACCTATCAACATTAATAATGGACTTGAAATTGGTAATTAAGTTACATGTTCACACTCTTATTGCAAAGCTGTTATAGATAAGTTGTATTTATAGAGGCTGTGTGAAAGAAGAAAAAGGCAAAGATTTGGTTCTAAATGCCCTGGGCTTAATTGTCAGGGCTACAATCAAACTATGTGACTGTGGATAAGCAGAACTCTGAGAGCCTTGGTGTCCTAATCCATAAATTGATACAGCATCCCCAGGATCAGGGTGTGTGTCCAATGAGATAACTTATAAACGACTTCTGAAGTGGATTGGCGATTATTGCCTGTTAGGCACCTTCCTAGTGTTTTAATGTTACACCTCTAAGATTTTGTTCTTAAAAATACACATTTACCATTTGAAGATGTATTCAGAGTATTTGGGGTCATCACATTAACATCCAGGAGTGAGGGGTGTCGAACGTCCTGCAAGATATAAGACGGTCCTGCCCAAAAAGGTGTCCTCTTACAAATATCAGCAAGACCTCACTGATAATCATGAAATGGCATCTTTCAACACGAATTTATTTAAGTACTGAGTCATGTAATTCAGCCCTGATTATAGATAGCAGAGGAGTTTGGTGAAAAGATGGAGAGTGTATGAGGCTGATGCAATCAGAGAAGTCATCATAGAAGAGGTAACATTTGAAAAGGCTCTGGAAGAATAAGTATAATTCAAAAAATTAAAGTCAATAGGAACAACATACCATGCTACCATGCATAAAAGATGAAAGATTATGGCTGGGGTAAGAGTGTATGGGCTTGCAGAGGGACAAGGAGGGTTTCATAGCATGGGGCTTTTATGAATGGAAAAACTTCATTAAGTAAAATGAATGAAGCATTTGGGAGAGTGGGAAAAACTAATTTTTAATCAATAGAAGTGTGTGAGAGAGGGAGAGCTGGGAATGGGGGGGTGGGCAGAGAGAGAGAGAGGGAGAGGTGAGAACCAGCAAGCCTGAGACTGTGGAAGCTCCCAATTATCAGCCAGAGAAAGGAGTTTAAACTTAATGAAGAGACAACAAAGAATTTGGGTGGTGAGCAGGGTGCAGTAATGATGACTGGTGTTTGGGAATGAGAAATCTGACAGCTGTGGGTGAGGCAGATTTGACGAGGGAAAGACTGATGCCAGAAAGGCCACTTTGAAAGTTGTTGGTAGAGATACAAACATAAGGTAGTAAGCTTCTCCAACAGGAAAACTTAAAAGTAAGGTATAAACAAGAGATCCTTCAAAGAAAGGCTGAAGTGTGAACATGTCAGTCACAAAAGATGAAGAGAGGGCAATTCACTCTGGGGCAAGGCTCCTGAGCCTAGTGGAACCAGAGGCCCTGATGAGTGGGACTGAGAGCTATGCAGTCTGTTCTCTCCAAAGTTAGTGCTCCTTGATCTGGACTTTTCCTTTTTGGAAATGGCTCTTGCCTTAAATGTTACAAAAGTTCAAACCGTCACCTTCTATAACATAAATACTTTTATTTTAATATTTCTCTGCATTTTTTCTTTTAGCAAGTTTAATTTACATTCTAATAAATACCAGTCTAGGTCAGGTCTTTCTCACCAAGTTTTTAAAGTCAAATGTGCATCGCCTAAAGGAACCACATTTACAAAAGAATTAAAAGAGCATTTACATGTAAGGGGCAGATGTGAATTTTTTTTGTTTGCAGAAAATCCAGGCCAGAATCCTCTACTCCTATTATTCACAGTCTCAATTATCTTTAGGAAACACTTGAATATTGGATAAATTCAATGAAATAAGTTACTCAAACTTACAGCTTGGACAAAAAATTATCTAATAGACTAAATATTTTGCTTTGGAGCTGTTTGTTTTGATTTTGAGGAGAAATTGTTTAAATGATCGGATTTGTTGCACTGCAGTTCTATCCCCACAATGCCAAAAGATTCTCCAGTTCAGACAGTTGAGGTGTTCAGCATTATGGAGACACAATTTCTTGAATTAGATATTTTGTTATTTTGGAAGCATGGAAGCACCTATACATCTTGGTATACATTAAATGTACTCATCCTAAATACTGATTTACAAAAGGTGCAGTGATATGCAGAATACTTTATAGATCAGACTTTGTTTCATTTTTAGTGGAGTCACTCTAACTTTTTTTTTTCTTGCAACAAAACTGGTAGGGGAAACTGTGTTACACAGCCTTAATAGAATCCCCAGGAATTTATGGGAAAATTTTTGTTCTGAGTTTTATTTGACAAATCAAATCTGGAAAGTATCAATCTTTGTTTCCAAAAAAAAAAAAGTCCTTGTTTTTTAAAGATTCATTTATTTATTTGAAAATTGGAGTAATACAGAGAGAGAGAATCTTCTACCCTCTGGTTCACTCCCCAAGTGGCCACAACCGCCAGGGCTAAGCCAGGATGAAACCAGGAGACAGGAGTTTCATCTGGGTCCCCTGTGTGAGTAGCAGGGGCCCAAGCACTTGCTATTCCTAGGCCATTAGCAGAGAGCTGAATTGGAAGTGGGGCAGCCAGGACATTAACTAGCACCCATATGGAATGCTGGCATCACAAGAGGCGGCTTTACCAGCTACACCACAATGTTGACTCCTTCCAAAAATTTCTTAAAAGCCTTCCACCTTACTAGAAAGGTGTCGGCAGCTCAATAAACAAAAGTGACTTTCTTTTTAAAAGCAATACAATCCTGGCTGGTGCCGCGGCTCACTTGGCTAATCCTCCACCAGCGGCACCGGCACCCCGGGTTCTAGTCCCACCCGGTTGGGGCTCTGGATTCTGTCCCAGTTGCTCCTCTTCCAGTCCAGCTCTCTGCTGTGGCCTGGGAGTGCAGTGGAGGATGGCCCAGGTCCTTGGGCCCTGCACCTGCATGGGAGACCAGAAGGAAGCACCCGGCTCCTGGCTTCGGATCGGTGCAGCACTCTGGCCGCAACGCGCCAGCCATAGTGGCCACTTGGGGGGTGAACCAATGGAGAAGGAAGACCTCTCTCTCTCTCTCTCTCTCTCTCTAACTCTGCCTGTCAAAAAAATAAAAAAATAAATAAAAGCAATACCATCCTTTTGTTGTTAGTGACAATGATGGTTATCACAGTGATATAAGAGCAATCATGCATATTATAGGTTATACAGAAAACTAGAAATAACACTTTACCACACTCCACTAAACCAGTATCATTATAATTTGGTTATATTTTTTCTTATGTTTTCACTGGATCTTTTTTATATTTGTAGTAAAAATGTAGACATAATTTTATATCACACAAAATGCTGAAATTAATATTCTCAAAATGAAAAAAGCAGAGTAAAAGAAAGTGATTCGGATTGGGTTGCTTTGCAGCCTCAGTTATCTCATGACCGAAATGGGGAGAACAATTACCTCACAGCTTTGTTGCTGACATCAAGTGGCATCAGA